AGAATGGGAAATAATCTCCAAAATTGTGCTTAATATAATTTAATATTAATTCCCAAAATCAAATTTAAAATTTCCCACCAATAGACGTAGGTATTTAAAGGGTATCGTAATTCACGAAGTTAGTTACTTTTCGCATTTGCGGTGTTGCCAGATTGGTCAAAACATTTAATTATCCTCCAGATAGCAAACCTTATAGTTGAGTGAAAGAATTCAAACCGTTATTTATCTTTATCCGGATGATAGATATACGGGAGTATGAAAAAATTGAGCATTAGTCCAGACTTCCAGTCCATTTTTATTGTAAATGTTGCCCGGTGTACGCGCAATTCTACAAGAAACTTTACAATCTTCGTAACAATTGTTCGACATAATTAAAACGACATGGAGGAAAACACCGAAAGGGGGATCATTACTCGTATTTATTTGGAAAATTTCGTGTAAGTCGTTGATTAATTTTTATATTTTGCTATTTCCTGATGTTCTATTCTAGTCTGAATGTTTATATGTCGATAATTTTGGGTAATTATTGGAATTCATGTGTAATAGCTTTTCCACCTGACTCTTTGTTTAATGTTGAAACACGTGGGGTTGTTTCAATTTGTTACTTAACCTATAATTTAAAATGTACTCTGAGATTCTCAGAGTAGACGTGTTTGGAAAGTATTTCATGACAATTTGTATTTACCTTGCTTTGAGTGGTTTAATTGGTTTTTGTAGTACGTACACAAGAGTCGTGGTAAGGCCAGGTAGACACTTGAACGTAATTATTGGACCAAATGGCACTGGGAAATCGACAATAGTTTGTGCTATAGTCCTTGGCTTAGGAGGAAAGCCAAAGGTAATTGGGCGGGCTCTTCATATTGGAGAGTACGTTCGAGCTGGCTGCGATAAAGCAAAAATTGAAATTGAACTTAAAGATTACGGGGACAAGCGTACTGTTGTAACTAGAATATTTAGTATTCAAAATCAAACCACTTGGATGGTGAATGGGAAGCAGGCAAATTTAACGGAAGTAATGGAAACCATAAAGGCATTCAATATTCAAGTAGATAATCTGTGTCAGTTTTTGCCACAAGACAGAGTTCAAGATTTCGCAAAGATGAATGCGCAGGAGCTTTTAGAAAATACGGAACGATCCGTTGGCAATCCTAATTTAATAGGGTATCACATGAAATTGAAAGACTATCGAACGGCATACAAAGATTTAGAAAAGGAAATAGGTATAAAAAAAGAACTGCTGAATGCACGGATACAAAGGCACAATGAATTGAAAGAAGTTGTGGGCATTATCAAGGAAAAGAAAAGGATAAGGAATAAAATTACATCTTTAAAGCAGAAGAAAGCGTGGATATTGTATGACTCAAAAAGGAAAGAATTAGTGGAGGTAATGCTATAGTAAATGTATATTTTATTTCAATTACTTGATTATTAATGGATACGAAAATGTAGTATTGTAGTTATTTAAAATGTAATGTTAGTAGTCCTATTTATTAGTAATTTTTTATTCATACTTGCGTGCTTCTTTTTTCATGTAAAGGCAAAGAAGAACAGAGATGCTGCTGCACAGGAAATGAGACAGCTTGATTTACAACTGAAGCCAATGAATGATGCTATTATAGCACTAGCATCCAAACTGAAAACCATTCAAAATACTGTTAATGAACATGTAAGTGAAAGCTTTCTTTCTTGGGGCAACTATTTTCCTTTTTGTTTATTTTCCCTGTTTCCTGGTATATCTAAATTGAAATTGGGTACGTTGATTTCTAGGACAGTCGGTTTTCTTTAAAAATGGCAAAGATAAATAAGCTAAAGGAAACTAATATTACCTACGAGAGAGACATTAAAGAGATCGAACGAACCCGTGATTATAACATCGAAGCAGAAGAAAATCGTGACAGAGAGATTGCTTTAGTGGAACAGCAAAGAGACGCCTATCGTGATGAGCTAAGGGCTGTGCTTTCCCAAATAACAGGTAATGAAACGAATTTCTTTTATAATATTTATTCATAAAAATATGAAAGCAAAGTATGCAGAAATATATAAAAATTATTGGTTTGCAGAATCTGATTTACGCAAGGAGCAAAAATATCATATAGCAAAAACTGAAGAAAGAAAAAATATTTTAAATAACTTGGGCAGCCAGCGTACATCTTTCAAACAACAAGATACAAGTTTGCAACATGAAATGATAGGTAATTCAATTGCTATTAACTATATCATTCAAGAGTATTATTTGAACACTACGAGTTTTAGTTCCCACAATTTATTTTACATTATCTAATCCAGAATTTTAACAAATGACACCGGGGAAGTTCTGAAAACGTAATGTCTACCATAACAATTTTAATTCAATTTCATTCTTTTAATTTAGCTCAACAAGAGTCTTTAAATGCTGTTAAGGACGTTGAAACAAAGAGAATGGAACTTCTGAAACGAGTGAGCAAAGACGCTTACACGGCAGTTTTATGGCTACGACAAAATCGGGATAAATTCTCTGCGACGATTCATGAGCCAATGATACTTACGTTATCTGTAAGAAGCGTCAATTTCGCAAAATATCTAGAAAATACAATAGCCAAGAGAGATTTGATAGCGTTTGTATGTGAAGACAAGAAAGATATGAATTTATTTCTGAGTCTGTTAAGAGGTAAAGAGAGGCTGCAAGTGAATGCACTACACATGGACCCTGATAAATCGGTACAGATGCAGCCGAAAGTTCCCATAGAAAATATCAGACAGTTCGGCTTCGAATATTACTTGAGCTCATTGATCGATGCTCATCCAACGATCATGAAGTACTTAGTGTCAATGTACAACCTCAGTAACATCCCAATTGGTAGCGACTTAATTGATGAAAATGTGGATTCTGTGTCAAAGAGCTTCAGACTCTTCTTTAGCCGTAAGACTTTTCCTTTCCTTATTATATACGTAAATTTTATTTTACATAAGTGGAAATCCTTCTTATTTGTTAATTCATCCTTTCTGTTTCTCATTTTAAAGGAAACACGGCCTACGCGGTAAAAGTATCAAAATATTCCGGGGCAACGTCCACTACTATATCCTCGATAACGGGTAATGGAACGTTATCTATTACACTTGACACGAACAAAATGGATGGAATTAAAGAAAGGTGCTTACAAATTTTTTTTTCAGTTTTTTCTGCCTGGATAGAGTCTCGGCATTCAGTAAAATATTGTAATAAGTATTCGAAGAAGGGTGTAATTATCTGTTTATAAATTTATGAAAAATGAGCCTGCTATTGTTTTAGATTGAGAGCGATAGCTGAAAGGAAAACAGTTATTACAAAGAACTTAAAGGAAATAGAAGAGAAGATTGAAAACGCGAATAAACAACTTCAGGAACAACGGGACTTACGTGCTCAATGTCAAAATAAAATTCAAAACATCGAAGCATTGAAGTCTAGGATAAACGTAGCGGACATTAAAATCCAGACTCTTCAACGTGAACGAACAACTATCGAAGAGATCCGAAAGAAGCACAAGATAGAGATTCAAGTAATTCTACTCCATATACTTTTTTTTTAATATTTCCATTCTTTTAATGGTAAATTGAACTGTAATTATTTCATTAACGCCTAGACCTAACATTTTTCTCGTTATCCTACTTCCTGCTTCAAAATATATCTTTTTCAGAATGTCATAAGAAAGCAATTCAAATCCTATGCGATGTACAGTGCTCTTTTTGCTGAATGCCTCGATAACATAGCAGACACCGACCAAAAGAAATTAGAACTAAAAGTGCTGAAACAAGTGCTGAGGGCTAAAGAGGAAGGTTCTCATGAGTTGCGAGAGAAATGTGCAGCTGCGGAAAGAACCTTCAAAGCACTCGACGAAGAACTGTCCCCCTTGAAGGAAGACACGAAAAGAATGTACAAAGAGGCACTTGAAAGTACCAATGGGCTAAATCCTCAGGACAAAAAGTTTGAGTCAATTAATAGGGCTTTTTTGAAACTACCAGCTTCTATAAGCGAAATTAACGAAGAGATTAAAGTTGCTCAAGCGAAGGTTTTCTGTTTGGAGCGAAATGCTGACAACGATGCAGAAAATGTGAGTGCAGGAAAATAGAAGGAAATTCTTTGGTGCATTGAAAGTATTTTTCTGATTCCCTCCGTAGACGTTACATGAATTTGAAAAAGTTCAAGAGGATATTGATACTCTAACTGAATGGACAAAATCAAAGACCATGGAAATCAACTCGTTGGGGAATAAAATTGAGACTTTACGTGACAAATGGTTACCGGAGTTGACGAGTCTCATTGAAAGGATAAATGGGAATTTTAGTTCATTTTTCCTTGCCATGAAGTGCGCGGGCGAGATAGCGCTCGTTCACGGAGAGAATCCGGTATGCATTTTGTAAAATGAATTGTTTTAATTCGCGTACAGTTTTATTATGGAGGGTTCATAACATCTATACGATGCATTTTATGGTATGATAAATCTCTGCAGTTGGATTTCAGTGAATACGGTTTAAAAATCAGAGTAAAGTTTCGAGAAGTGGATAATCTTCAAGAATTAACGAAACACCATCAAAGTGGAGGCGAAAGAGCGGTTACTACTGCACTTTACATGATCTCATTACAAGAACTCTCTAAAGTTCCATTTCGTTGTGTCGATGAAATAAATCAGGTAAATCATTACTATTATACAAGTGATATTCGTCTCCAATACATGCCTCGCTTTGTTTCCCATTTGCTACAATTGTTCAGCGGATTAATAAAAACGTATATCGCTATCTACCAAAGATTTGAGACTTCATTATCTCTGTTGAATTGTTTAGGGAATGGATGCCGTTAATGAAAGAAGAGTGTTCGACTTAATAATGAAAATCACCAACCAGTCAAATGGTTCCCAATATTTTTTGCTCACTCCAAAAGTATGTGAAACTTCCTTTATTAATGCCTTATTATGCTCGATGCTATTGATGTTAAGGTATTTGCAAATGTTTCTCTTTCTACAAATTATTTCTACAATTTCTTTTTCAGCTGCTATCTAATTTAAAGTACAGCGAAAAGGTGACGGTCCATTGTGTGTTTAATGGACCGTTCATGCCTGATCATCATTTTGACACGGAAGAATGTTGCGAACGACTTCATAGGGATTCAGATTAATGAATCAAACCTGTGCAACGATTTCAAAACGGTAAAACGTCCCAAATTTACCTTTTAATTTATTTATAACAGAGGAAATATTTTTTTTTCGCGAAAATTCATCATCTTTGACATGTATTTTTGTTACATTATCAGCGTTAACGTCCATGTTGTCTTTATTATCTTTATTAAGGTGCTGAGAACGTATGGCATCGTTCCCTTATTTCTTCCCTTTCTTCTTCTTCTTTTGAGCGTCTGGCCAGGGGAAGCCACGACAAGAGAGCACATCCATGATGTTATGACAAAGATAATAAGCATTCTCCATGACTTCTTCGTTAAATATATCCATGGCAAATCGTGCTTTCCCTGCGCTTTTCGAGCCACGAGACGTTTTTTTCGAGCCGCTACCATTTTTTCCCTTCTTCTTTCCCTTGCCTTTTGCCATTCTACGTGAAAAGTAAAGTGAAAGCCACAAGACTGTAAATGTAATTATAAGCAGTAGTAAGAACGTAAGTCAAGATTAATTGTACAGTCGATAACAATACCTTACAATGACTTCTAAGTCTTCGTTAAATTGCCAAAGTACTTTAAGCACTTTTATACTCTACACTTTATACCGTCCGACGATAGTCCGGGTTTATTAATCCAAGTTCATTTTCCACGATAAACTAAATTTGTGATGCTCTGCTGGTTGTCAGGAGGTTTGTTATATCAATAATCTCATCGTAATCATTGATTCAGGATTCTGGTTGCTAAGGTATTATTCTGGGCCGCTGATCGCTGATCATCGTGTATAATATTGTCGATATCATTGTAATTATTCCTATGTCACATAAATATTTTTATTCCAATAATGCCATAAATACTCTGCCATACGAAACGGAATTTTCTCACTTTCTGAGTCCCATTGCTTTGCCCAGCATAAGTTTCTCCGACATGTTCTGAATGTTGTGCACGTGGGAAATTTAATTACTGCCATCCTCTCCGATGTAATCTGATGATACTAAACGCAACCAGACTTCCGCGGCGTTAATTTCAAGGTCCTGTAAACCTGCTCTTAACTCGAAAAAATATCGCTTATCTCATATCGTAGATAATATCTTATGAATTGTTAACGAATTATATATTAACAGTTCGTTCCTCTAAAAGAACACCGCTAGTTTATTTTGTTTTAATGTAACATCGTTGTAATACCTATTTTTTCATTTTATTGCGATATACAGAGTGCAATAGAATTCGTACGATTTACACATTGCTAGCCTTGAAAATGGAGTGAAAAAGTCTTGTGGAATTTTATTTCTACAATGCATTGTTTCTAATAATTGAAAAATGTCCAGATACGTCTATTTATTATTATATATATTATTATATATAATATATTGGACGAATGCGCATCAGTCGCGCTTTATTTGTAGCTTTGTAGTGTAGGGGCAAAACAAGAGACCAGTCTCACTGAGAGCGTCGAGTGTTACAGTGCGCGGCGCGTCAGCGCATAAATGAAAACCCAATCAGAATTGCACTTAACGCGTCGCGCTCTGTGTGACTCTGTTTCATTAAACAAAGACCCTGGTTGTCTATTTTTCAATTAATTATTTCAAATAAACCATGCACCGTATAAAAAGAATAGTACAGGACCGTGTGATTCCATTTGGATGACAAGGACATTGCATGTCCACGAGTTCTGTTATACCCTGTACAACAATCCTGCATTACCGACAAACCTGTAGGAAAGAATTCAGAAGTCTCTATAGAAGCTCAGAAGGATACGGACGTTTGATGCTCGATAACAGTACGTTAGCCAACAGATGGCGGCGCTGTAATCATCCTCCATCTCTCTCAATCTTATGGCGATGTATAGCGAATTGCATTCTTTCTCTATCTTACCCACAGTACTCGTCTTTCTATATGCGTCTCTCTTCCTCCCTTATGTGAGATATCATTGGCTAATACATGCGATCTCTCTTTTACCCCCACTTCTGGTTTGTTAGCCAACTTTTAGATCATCAAGCGCTAACATAGGATCTGGGACTTCTGAATTCATTATTTTAGGTTAAAAGTTCTAGAGCTGCCCGCCGCGCATGCGTGTTCCCGCACGCATTAATACGCCGGTAGGTACCAACAAATGCCGCTTAATCCGTAGATAAATCCCGAAACCATACAGAGTTTAAAGATAAAGCCCACCCTCTTATCATCTGGCACTATTTTTCCGTACAACGGAGAAAACCCCGTATCTAGTTGACGTTTGGTACTATCCCATGGTATCTAAATTCAGCTGCAGGACGTTCTTCCTCCGATCGCCATTCGGGACGCGCATGCGCGAGCCGCTAGGCTCTCCGCGTAGCACGCAGCGCCGCTCGCGCAGAAACAGGCCGACCGGCGTGACGCTCGGATCTCGTTGTTATCGCGTTCGCTGCCGCGTCGTTTCGCCGAGTTTTGAGCGGCCCTTCCGAGGACCGTGCGAATCTTAGGTTAGGTTGGGGGTCGCGTGGTCGCCAGGTCGGTCCAGGCTTGGCCGGCAGGTGGCGGGTGGACCGGCGCGCCGAAAAACAGGACCGCGAACAGTCGTGAACGGGAACGAGACCAGGCCTGCCGCCATTGGCGGAGCCCAGAGGCCGGAACAATGCTGACTACTCTGATGGCCATCGTCGCGGTGATCCTGTGCATTCTCTTCCGTATACTAAACGTGAACAGCGCCCCGCAGAAGCCCCAGCTTTACTGCCAGGATCAGGCCTTCCTTGCGAGCATCCTCAAGATCTCCCCGGTGCTCGCCGAGCCGTAAGTCTAGGCTTTGATTATTATCGAAACGAATTATATCTCCTTCTCCCGAGTTTCCCTATTTTCCCCTCGAGAGACGTCGCCGCATCTTCAGCTCGCCTCGGGCGACCTCGCGTCGCCGTATCGACGGGCTCTGCGCAGTTTGAGGTTAGGTCACCACCCCTGGACGCCGGGCGGTGCGATCTCGAATCTCGACTCGTCGCACAGACTACGATTCGAGACCGGTCTCGAAACGCTAATTAGAGATGCGCTCCATGTCCCTTTTTTATCTTCTGAGAATCCAAAGAATGTTCATTTTATATACTTATTGCGTATTTTCTTTTATGGAGGATCCATAAATAATATGCACGGGATGCACCGCGGGGGTGAATTTTTGCCACGTGGCTAATTTATCCATTATTAACCGAAACAGCCAATATACCATTTTTTTATACATAGAGTTTTAGATGTTAAGAGACTCGGTCGTGTCTCGTCGATATAGCTTTACGAAAAATACCTTGGAGCACGAAAACTTGGCCATATAAATGTAACTCTCCTCGATTAATTGGAAAAATATCACGGAAACCTATTTCTCCGGAAATAGTTGAGATATACTATTTTGTTATCAAATACTATGGAACGCGTCATTAATAATTTGAGTTCGATATTTTCGCCAAATGTTGCGGTACATTTAAAGAACATTAGAAATATACGTCTTATATGTGTACGTACATAATACGTCGCAGAACGTCCGTGTAAACGTACTTTAAACGTGGATATCTAAATGGCGAAGTTGGGATGCGTTATTTCTTTCTAAATGAGATCACTCATTTCATCCTATTTATGTATTGTAATTGAAGATCGCTGATTGAGCTTTGTTTATAGTACAATACGTCGCGCTCTGTTTATATGATAGGTGGTGGTTCGTTTACGATACGTTCGTGTCCAACGTTTGCTAACGTATACAGAAGTGATTTTTAACCCGTGTCCGCACATCTCTTTTGCACATATTTTCGAATGAATATTTAATATCTCGTTACTTCTATGACCTTAATGATTTTTGGGGGTTGTCGAAATTTCTTAAGAAGTGTTCTCTGACATCGAAAATAAGCAGGACATATATAATAAGTATATAGTACGTTACTTGGAGATTAAAATATTGAGTGATTTAGAATTCACGTAATCTTTAATCTTTACATTTATCAAGAGCTCAAAGAAAAAAAAATGTATCATGCATTAATACAAAACTTATCTAATGGAGCATTTATGGATAACGCTATATTTACTCTTTTAACGTGATTCAAGATTGTATTCTTTTCGTTCATAATTCTCTTAAGTTCGGATCAGATTCATATTATACATTAGCACTAGACTTATGTAATGAAGGATTCGCGAATAATGCTACATTTATAATAAATTTTGAGTGATTTAGAATTCACATGATCTTTTCTCTTTACATTTTTCAAGAGCTCGAAGAAAAAAAAATGTATTTCATGCATTAATACTAAACTTGTTTAATGGAGCATTTATGGATAACGCTATATTTACTCTTTTAACGTGATTCAAGATTGTATTTTTTGGTTCATAATTCTCTTAAGTTCGGATTAGATTCATTTTATACATTAACACTAGACTTATTTAATATAGGATTCACGAATAACGCTACATTTATAACAAATTTTGAGTGATTTAATATTCACATGATCTTTTATCTTTACATTTTTCAAAAGCTCGGAGAAAAAAAATGTATTTCATGCATTAACACAAAACTTATCTAATGGAGCATTTATGGATAACGCTATATTTACTTTTTTAACGTGATTCAAGATTGTATTTTTTTTGGTTCATAATTCTCTTAAGTTCGGATTAGATTCATTTTATACATTAACACTAGACTTATGTAATAAAGGATTCACGAATAACGCTACATTTATAATTTTAATGCGATTTAGAATACACGTGGTCCTTTCTTAGAGTTATATCCTTCTTAAAATATTCGGAAGAGATTCAATTTACGATCATCGATATTGAATTCATTTAATGGAAGATTCATGAATCATGCCGTAATTATCATTTTAACGCGTCCACGTAAACGTATGCAGAACGCATTTGGATTGTAAATAATACCCCCATCGTTCCTTAATTAACTCACGCATTGTCTTTTCCTTAACATCGAATTTACTCGGTATTTCTTTTATCGGAATCACGTTCCCCGATTGAGTAGGAAATTCGCCATTTTGCATCGCACGAGGGACGTCGATGATAGGATTCATCCGTGATAATATTTACGGTCATGAATTGTGATAGGGCTTCGGAGAAACGATGATTAGCAATCCGTCGATCGGTCCAGAATTCTTAGTCATACATGGTCGCTCATATTCGCACATGCGAGCCCACGACACTGGCAAATTTGTCCATGATTTATCACTCAGGAATTGAACCGATGTCATCGCGGATCGTGCGTTGCCGGTGGTTAGAAAAAATCGTTAATCTCTTAAAAAAAAAAAAACCACCATTAACCCTTTTAGTGCCGGAGGCCGATATATCGGCCCGCACCTTGTAGCGCTTTACTATTCGCTTTGCGAGAGATCTCTATCTCAAAATAAATTTATACTACGTTATAAATAGTCTAATTTCATTACGAGAGAATTAAAATAACGATACAACAACACCTATAACAACCTATAACCTACCTGTAACAACCTATAACCTATAACAATTACTTGTTTCGGATGAGATAATCCGTCCTGCGCCTACCATGTGCCTTGGAGTTATTTTTTACGTTTCTTGTGCAATATTACTTATTTTGTTAAAAAATATATTGGAAGTTTAAAGTATATACTTTGCAATAAACGGTCTATATAAATTTATGATAAAAAGATGACCTTTCCTATGTGCAATTACGTTTTGAAACAGAGAACTCAATTTTTTTTTTATCACTTATACCTTTGTTATTTATGTAATTTTCAATGAATATAGAAAAATTAGCGTCACAGTTTTATTCTCTATTTTGTCCTTAATACCCTGCTTTTTGAATTATGTAAACATTACTTTTCGTTTGGTTTTTATGAGCCTTTTTCCAAATCCTAGTAAAATCGTAATATTCGGCCGGTTATCTTCGCATAAGCACCTCTTTTTCGCCCGGCACTAAAAGAGTTAAGGAAATTGGCTGTGTGAAGCTGGCATATCCAGTTCGAGTCGCAAACTAAATGAACAACGCCAGGAGGCGAAATTAATGTATCGAAACTACTATTAACCAGTAGATATTTTGTAGATTTGTAGAATATTAATTGGCTTGTTGTTAAAAATGATACGCGTAAGCCTCAAGGAGACGTATAGAAATCGGTCCAACTGTTCGCTTCTATTATCCTTGGCTAAGTGCCGTTTCTCTCCATTGTTCGTAGGGACAGTCTTGTTCGAGCCGTATCAGCTGTTTAACCATTTTAGTGCCGGGCGAAAAAGAGGTGCTTATGCGAAGATAACCGGCCGAATTTTACGATTTTACTAGGATTTGGAAAAAGGCTCATAAAAACCAAACAAAAAGCAATATTTACATAATTCAAAAAGCAGGGTATTAAGGACAAAATAGAGAATAAAACTGTGACGCTAATTTTTCTATATTCATTGAAAATTACATAAATAACAAAGGTATGTGATCAAAAAAAAAAGAAAAATTGAGTTCTCTGTTTCAAAACGTAATTGCACATGGGAAAGGTCATCTTTTTATCATAAATTTATATAGACCGTTTATTGCAAAGTATATACTTTAAATTTCCAATATATTTTTTAATAAAATAAGTAATATTGCACAAGAAACATAAAAAATAACTCTAACTAAGAAAGAAAATAATCCGAAATCTTTTATACATTGAATTAGGACGGAAAATGTTTGACGAGATTTCAAAGTGTAGGAAATGGTAGTATTTTTTAATATAGCCGCATGGAGGTTGTTGTAATATATTGTTGCGCCAGATGGTAGTGTTATACAGAAAGAAAATAATCCAAAATCTTTTATACATTGAATTAGGACGGAAAATGTTTGACGAGATTTCAAAGGGTAGGAAATGGTATTTTTTAATATAGCCGCTTGGAGGTTGTTGTAATATATTGTTGTGCCAGATGGTAATGTTATACAGGATTCATAAAGATCGACAAGTTTAACGTGAATTTCGGAAAAATATTTCTTCCTCGATCTCGGAGCCTACAATTGAGAGTGCGCAATAAACTCTATATTGAAACGTTGAGGGGAATGAACCTCGAAGGGCAAGTCCGCTTTCTGGCACTCTTCCAAAAGAAGAGAAAAAGAACCGAAAATATTAGTGGGCGCGATTCGCGAATGGTGGAAAATTTCGACGCCTTTGCAAAATGCTTCTGTGTTGTCCCTGGAGGTACTTTGAAATCACTTTCCATTAGGTTGACTAAGAGTTAATATACACTGCGGTGGAAAAAAGAAATAGCAAAGTGTAACATTAATTTATGCACTGATTCGGTACTATTACAGATCGCTAATCGTGAAGTACTACAATTTTTCTATATCAACAATTCGGTTTTTGTCATTAGTTATTAACGTTTCGCAGTCGTGAAAGACAATAGATATGTCATTTTTACACAAATAAGGATAATCACTGGAATTTGTTTGTAAGATATTACAGTTCTTCTAGCGATTAATCGATTACAATTGAGGTTTGATCGAGAGAAATGTTTTTTTTTTTAATACTTTTAAGTTATCACTTATATTGATGTATCAATATTTACAAGTTAATTTAATATTAGTTTTCGATTCAAGGTAAACTCGACCTTGGCATTTTACAGTGCAAATTTCGTTTGTCCTTTTGTTTAACAAATCTTAACTATACATATAGGCGCACAAATGTTAAAAAACTGGTGAATAAATATTTCATAGCTTCGAGAGGGAGCATGCCAATGTTTGGCTCGTGGTACAGTTGCACATTAGACGATGGATATTACATTTGATTTAAATACTTTTATTCCATGAATTTTATATCAGTATAAATATTTAC